GACAGCATCGGCATACAACAGAACACCTGTTTAAGAGAATTTTATTTCTGAAAGAATCATACATACACAGAAGACATTTATGTGTTACAATATGCCTTCTCAAGACATGCTAATTTATCTTAATATACATCTATGCAGGGGGGTTAGAAAAAGGGGGTAACGATTTAGGGCACAGGGTACTCTACTATGGGAGAGCTTAAAGCCGTCCCGAGGTTATCATGAAAGAGCATTGCTTGCACCCAACGGGTGCTTTGAGCACAGAGTACCAGTTAAACATACTTTATATCATTTCTTGCAACTCACAACTGCACTACACACTTGCACACTAACTATCCCAACCTCATTGAATGTGCCGGTCATTGGTCTTATTGTCAACCAAGTTACCAGAAGAGGAAAAAAAATTAATATGGCTATTTTTATGTGTCAAGTTTAACTCAACAAGAGCAAACAACCCTTTATGCATCGTATTTTGTAAGATAGAGATGACGAAGCCAGAGTGCGTCGGCCGAGCTTTTGCGCGAAAAGGGAAATGCCGCCGCTTCGGTTTCCGCGAGGGTTGCTTGCGTTCCGCCGCAGTCACAGATGGAGAGTTCGGTGAGTCCGTCCATGCGTCCGTCCGTCTGTCCGTCCATGCTTCCGCCCACTGGCGCTTTCGTCCGTCCGTCCGTCTGTGAGCTCTTTTGGGCGTCCGTCCTTGAGTGCGAACGGACAGACGAATGGACGCTTCGTCCCACTCATCATTCACTCCGTGAATATGCTCCGATTTTTTTAGGAGCGAAGCTCCTAAAGGCGTGGGCTGTGCGTCCCCTGTATGTAGCCACCTCTCGTTCAGTTCTAAGTATTACGCTAGCCACCACCCAATCTAAAGGGTACAGCCATATCCATCCGTCCATCCGTCCATCCATCCGTCCATCCATCCGTCCATCCATCCATCCGTCCATCCATCCGTCCGTCCGTCCGTCGGTCCATCCATCCATCCGTCCATCCGTCCGTCCGTCCATCCATCCGTCCATCCATCCGTCTGTCGTCCGTCCGTCCATCCGTCCGTCCGTCCGTCCATCCGTCCGTCCGTCCAAAAGATGCAAGATGTTATAAACTAGACGGCGGTACGTGTAGTTGATTATGAAAGATGCGAGGTGTTATAAAATAGGAATGATGCCACATATGGCGTGTGTCATCGTTCGATATAGTGCGGCGACGTACGCTAGGGGGAGCGTTGCAATAAAATCGAGTGGGCAAAATGTACGGAGGATTCATGGTTTACCAGGTTTACCTCCGGAGCTTCGCCCACTCATCATCATTCACTTCGTGGATATGGCGGCATTTTTTTTATTGTAGCTGTGACTTTCCGCTGCAAGGCACCGCCTACTGAAACGTCTCCATCGTAGCGTGTTATTTCTTGTATTTAATGTTACGGTATCTGGACGCCCGTGGATGCCCGTTCTAACGGGAGTTTCACCTCCTAAAGCCGCATGCGTACGCTGCAGTGAACGCGCACCTAAATCTGTCTATTTCTTCCTCTGTTGCACAGGCGTATAGGTCACCGTATTAATCTGGTGGTCACATGTAGTGATGTCTATCTTTTTAAATGACCACGATTTGAAGACGCCTGTTTCGAGCACCAGTGTTTAGCGTGTGCTTGTTTGTGTGATCTTTGCTCGGGATTCATGGCACGCTATGTCCACGCATATGTTGTCAACTTCAGCTACCGCAAAGGTTCGCGGGCGTTCGCCGTCGCGATGAAGATGTGCCACTAGGCGTCGGCGTGGGTATGTTCTCGGCCCTGACGGTATCCCAGCTGTTTTTCTAAAGAGGTATGCTGAAATTATAGCTAGATTCCTAGTAATAATATTTGATGTTTCGATTGAAACTAGTACAGTGCCCGACGATTGGCTGCTAGCACGTGTAATTCCGGTATTTAAGAAAGGTAACAGATTATTAGTCAGCAATTATCGACCAATCTCGCTTACCTGTATTTGTTGCAAATTACTTGAACATATTAAAGCGAAATATTTAAATACTTTTCTTGAACAAAATAATGTAATTCACAGCACGCAACATGGCTTCCGACGGGGATTATCTACCACCACACAATTATTAGCAACTGTTAACGAGTTCTCCAAAGTTCTGGACAAGTCTGGACAGGTTGATGTCATCTTTATGGACTTTTCCAAGGCCTTTGACAAGGTCCCGCATGTCAAGCTAATAGATAAAATGAAGGATATTGGCATTCCTCCGGAAATAATTAACTGGGTCATAGCATACTTAACGAACAGAAAACAGTACGTAGATATAAACGGTTTCACCTCTGGTTATTTCGGGGTGTTATCTGGAATCCCGCAAGGGTCAGTTCTCGGGCCAATACTATTTAATATTTATATTAACGATTTAGTTCAAGCCATCCGACCTGGCGTGTCTGTTGAGTTATTTGCAGACGATTGCTTAATTTTTAATACCATAAATTCTATCTCTGACCAGCGTGACTTGTGTGAGAACTTAA